TGGGGGGGTGGGGAGGGGGGGAGGAGAGTAGGCATTCCAACTCTAAGAGCTATCCAAAAACTCCTGTGTTGTTCTGGGAAACAGAAAGTTTCCTATCCCTGCTCTTGGATGACCATTAGAACGTTGTAGGAAAAACATGTTTAATTAAAACATTTTGTGCTGGTGCCAGCAGGTGGTGTTGTGATTAAGGGTGCTGGACTCTCACATGGCCGACCATGGTTCAAGTCCCAGACCTGGCGGCGGCTAACTTTCTCACTTTCTCTCTCTGGTGAGTGTATGTGCCTTATAACAAATTAAAAATAAATAAATAAAACTAAATAATTCTTTTTTTTAAATCTTGTGCTATACATTAATCTTTTGGAAAGATTGACTAAGAATGGGTTTTTTCAGGGAAAAGGATATTGCTAACAGTCTCTGAGGAGATGGAGGGAAAAGGATGAGTCAGAGCAACTAAGGTAGGTGGTAGGCAATGCAAGTGTTGGGTTAGGACCAGCAGGTGGCACAATAGTTATGCTGCTGGACTCCCACATAGTCGACTGCAGTTCAAGTCCTAATCTGGCAACTTAAAACTCACGCCGAGTGCATACGTGCCCAAGGTCCTGAGGGGAGAATGGAGGAGAAGGGATTGCAGCATGGCCATTCCCCCAGAGGTGCTTTCTCACTTTCTGTCTCTCTCTGTCTCTCCAACAAGCACATGTGCCCTATAGCAAAACTCTCTAAAAAAAGAAAAAGTCATTATTGGGTTGTTGGAAGAGCCATCGTGACTCTTCCAACAACCCAATACATCTCCACTGAAAGTTTAAATTCCAGCATTTAAAACACAGAATGTGGGAAACTAGGACTAGGGGAAGAATTTTTAGACTTGAAATCAAAAGCATCATAGGTGGCATGGTGATTAACGCACTGACCTTCCACACAGCCAACCATGACTCGAGTCCTGGACCCAGCAGTTTAAATATCACAACAGACTAATAGATAAATAAATGAATATATTTTAAAAATGACTAATAAAAGAAAAAGTCGATAATTTGGACTACATGAAAATGTAAAACTTGTTCTACAGAAGACTCTGTTAGGAGTATAAAAAGAGGGCCAGTCCCATGACATGGTGGTTAAGGGAGCCAGATCCCACGTGGTGAGGACACAGGTTGAGTCCCAGCCTCAGCAGCTGGACATACACACCACGTGTGTTTACATGCCTGCCCCAGAATCCCAACAGAATAGAGAAACGCTCCACTGGGGAGTCATTCTCCACAACATCCCTCTAGCGAAGAAGATGACAACGATGATGACGATGACAAGCTACCGACTAGGAGATCAGCAGACCACCTATCCGACAGAGAACTACTACTGGGAGCATAGAAAGAACTCTCCAATCTCCACAGTAGCAAAAGCCAACAATTCAGTGGGCAAAAGACTAGAACAGACACGTCCCCAAAGAGGATATGCAGATGGCAAATGAGCACATGGAAATACGTTCAATGCCATTAGCGATCAGGGACATTCCGATGAAATCCACAATGCGATATCACTCCTACTCAGAGCTAAGATAAAAAAGCAGTGACAACGCCAAATGCTGGCCAGGTGTAAAGAACCAGATCTCGCACACGTTGCCGGTGGGAATGGGAATGGTAAAGGTACTCTCAGAAAATCATTTGGCAGATTTAAAAAAGTAAACACACACTTACCAAACAACCCAGCAATCGTACTCCTTGACATGTACCTCAGAGAAATGAAAACATATGCCCACCCGAAAACCTGTACACATATGTTCCAAACAGCTTTCTTTGCAATAGTCAGAAAGCTAAAAACGCAAACATCCTCAATGGGGAAAGAAACTTTGGCACGTGCATACCAGGACCTCAGCAATAAAGTGGGTGAGCTATTGATACATGGGGCAGCTTCTGTGGGTCTCAAGGGAATTATGCCGAGTGAAACAAGCAAACCCGTCAATCTCAAAAAGATGACGTACTATATGATTCCATTTATACGGTACTTCCGCAATTACACAATTATAGATGAAACACACGTAAGTGGTCGTCAGGATGTCGAGTACCAATGTCAACTTTTGATTTTATACTATATTGTGTAAGATGTCACATGGCCACCTTTTTATCCTATTCTTGTCACTACCTATGAATCTACAATGATTTCCAAATAAAGACTTAAAAAACCCAAACAGAATGGCAGATAATCAGGTGGAAATGTGTCAAGTTTTCCACAATAGAGAATTGTGAATAAAACCTGTATGTATTTTAACTATTCTGTATAATTTTTTTTTTTTTAGCTTGTGTGCTTGTCAGAGGCGGAGGGACAGGGAAATGAGAGATCACCCTCGGGAGGATGGCCAGGCCACGATCCCTTCTCCATTCTCCTCTTGGAATTCTGGGCATGTGCGTACTCAGACCCAGTATGTTTTTAAGCCATGTGACATCCAGCACCTTAACCACCATGCCTCCTCCAGGCCCTATAATTCTTTATATATGATGATTTTCCAAAAGTTCATGGAAAATAGAATTGAAGTATAAGTTTATTTTGGTGCAAAAAATTTTTTTAAATTAACCATTTTTTAATAATACACATTTTCCATGAACTTTTTGAAGATTTCCATATAGGTCTGCAGGCCATCTTCAAAATTTCTTTACTTTAGAGAAAGTACTTTATGTAGCCACATGGTCAGACTTCTCAGAGAAAGAGTATCATATATCCAAATTGTTGTTATAAATTCTGTATGAAGTTACTTGCATGTTATTTCGATAGTCTCCTTAATGCAAACGATTCCATGCAGCAGAGCTGCTGGTGAGCTGCAGGCAGGGTCTTCCTCAGCCTCCTCCTGGATCAGCTGAGGCAAGGGCCGGCTCGGCCCCCTCTCTCTGTTGCCGCCTCAGCTGCTCTGGCCCCACCCCGTGGGAAGCCATGGTGGGTTCAGGAATCTCTTACCTGGTGAGGTCCCAGATTCTTAAGGGTGAGAAGTGCCCACAACAAGCTGTCCCTGTCACAAAAGAGCTGCCAAACAAAAGAAAAGCAGGGTCAGATCTGGCTTGTAAGAACCTGTGGCGGAAATGGCTACACAATTGGCAAGGCCGTACTCATTCCCCAGGGATCATGAGGTTAAGCCCAAGCCAGAGAAGCAGCCAAGAGAGCCACCGGAGTTGTGGCAGAAAGACTGCTGGAGCACAGAGGGGCTGCCACCTCCCACAGCTGCCTGTCAGGACAGTGAGTAGGCTGCTCAGGCTGGCTCGTGTGGTCTCTGCCCACCATAAAAACAGATCTCTAGATGCACAACCCTGACCCAAGGGAGAGCGAGCACCTTGGGCTTCAGCTCTGTGAACCCTAGGAGCACAGACATGTGGAAGCACAAAGCTGGGGGTACATGGAGCTGAGGGAGCACAGAGCCATGGAGCACAGAGCCAGAGGGGTACAGTGTCATGGAGCGCAAAGCCAGGGGAAGCACAGAGCCAGGGGAAGCACAGACCCAGGGGGAGCACAGATTCAGGGGAGCACAGAGTAATGGAGCATAGAGCTAGGGGGAGCACGGAGCCATCATGGAGCAGAGAGTCAGGGAAGCACAGAGTCATGGAGCACAGAGCTAGGGGGAGCACAGAGCTATGGGAGCGTGGAGCCGGGGGAAGCATGGAGCCAGGGGAGCATGGAGCCATGGGGACACAGCCGGGGCAGCACAAAGCTGGGGGAGCACAGAGCCATGGAGCACAGGGCTGGGGCAGCACGGAGCTGGGGGAGCACGGAGCCATGGGGGCACAGAGCCGGGGCAGCACAGAGCCAGGGGAGCACAGAGCCGGGGGAGCACAGAGCCGGGGGAGCACAAAGCCATGGAGCACGAAGCCAGGGCAGCACAGAGCCGGGGCAGCACGGAGCCATGGAGCACAGAGCCAGGGGAGCACAGACCACAGGAGCATAACGCCATGGCACAGAAAAGGCTCCCTGGAAACAGGTGGCTGAGGGCTGGAAAGTGATGCCCTGGTTAGAAGTGGGCATTACTGAAGGCCTTGCGGCCGGGGGGCATGGGGAGGTTCTGGTAATGCGGTGTAAGCACAGGGCAGGTGAGAAGGCACCACACTGAGAAGACGGGAAACGTGAATGGTGAGTAAATCCGTGGCCTGGCATATGCTCCTGTGCCGAGTGGGGATGGGGGCAGGCTGAGGGGCAGGGTAGCCAGGGCTTGAGGAGTGGGATGAGAGCTGGCGTGTCCTCTAAGGACAGTGACCAACAATGCCAGAGAAGGCAAGCTGACCACGCTTCCCCGAGTGTCTCTTAGCCCCCCGAATCTCAGCACAGTCCCTCTGTGTAATTTGGTTTAAGAGGCACCGGCCCAGCTGAAAGGGTCCCTGCAGTGAGACGGAGGCCATAGGGCGGATCGTGGACTAGAACTTGAGCCCGCGAGCTGGACCACCCTTTTGTTAGAGGATTTGGCAGGAGCTGGGGGAGGGGAGTGGGGGGAGCCTTCCGGAAACTGGGGCTTGAAAACCGGAACAGCAGGTGAGAGCGAGAGCAGTGCTCCGGAGCTCCGGGGCAGGGAGGGCCCTGTCACTACACGCCTTGTGAGGGGGAGGGGGCACAGTAATGACATGTCAGCCCCTCTGCCCTGGCCCTGCCCAGCACCTGTGCTCTCTGACCCCCAGCATGGCTTTGGCTGGGGTGACAGCTGGCCCGCAGTGGCCTGTGTTAGGGCAGGCACCGGACAAGCCCTGGTTTGCCATCAGAGTCGCAGGGCAGGTGTGTGCTTTTCCACCCCAGGGCATGCCCTCTCGGCCTGGCTTCCTCTCAACCCCGGACTGCCAGCAGCCACGAGCCGGACACCCAAATCTGAATGACAGGGCACAGTCACACACTGCTGTCCCTAATACCACTTCCAGGTAAGCCACGAGAAAGACCAACGGTACCTAAAAGTAAAGTCAGCGCAAACGCATTCACGTACACATGCTCACACGGGGACACACTCGTAGCTAGAGGGTCTAAAAGTCACGCCAACGCCATAAACGCAACTCCTGGACCAGGAGCCCTCTCCAGACGCTAGCCTTCTCTAACTTCTCCTGCCCCAGACCTTGCTGGAGCCTCATCTACCTTTGTGCTCCTTGGCCTACCTCGGGCGAACCTGGCATCGAGGGACTGTCATCAGGCTGAAGAAGCAGACATCGAAGCCCTGACATCAAGAAAGATACCGGGAGAATTAGGAGATCTAGGCTCCAGTTGAGGAAGAAAAAATAAGACGACATGGGGGAGAGGAGAGGACAGTGACAGGGAGATTAGTTGAGCGTGGGCAGGCTGAAAGGAAGTTGGATATTTGCTTCCATTGGGCTGCTGGGAACGTTGTGAGTCATTTTTGCATAGAAAACAGAAAAATACATCACGGCTTTCTGGATGACCTAACAGTTCAGGTCCTTTTATTTAAAAGTTATATTTTATTTACTTATTTATCTTATTTTAATT